AAATGTAACAATCACATTAATTTGATGTGATGTTTCCATAAATTATTGATATTTTCAAGAGTACGGTATACAAAACTCTGAAATGTAAGTGTTACTTCGCTTATGATTTACAATCTACTATCAAAACTTTCCACAACAAGTACTTATAAACAAGACTATATTCTTCACCTTAGCGCCCTCATATGTTGATAAACTATTAGAATAAAAAAATTATAGTTTCTAAATTTCATTGTTTTCAAATAGTTGAATAAGTATAGAACCCAGTGTATTATTATCTTTGTAATAAATACTAGTTAAAAAATTTGTAACTGTAATCTTAAGATATTATTATGTTTTGTAGTATTGTTTTATGATAAATGAGTTTGTATTTGTATGCGATAGCAAAGTTTATATTAAAGACAGATCTAAAGCCATTACAATTAATACATGAAAATAATTGTTTTTAAAAGAGCCTAGATAAAAAGTGCAATCAGAGGTGTTTCTGCAACTTATCAATGACTTTATGACCTGAATGTTGTGAAAGCTGACCTCTGAAAAATTTTGTTGATTAAAAAGAAATAACACTGATCTTTCTTGGCTATCATAATAGCCAAGTTTACACATTAATACAATATAATATTATATATCCAATTAGTATCAGTTATGATTTATTTACATTTAAGGACATAGATTTTTTTAGATATATAAATAATAATATTTTTTATATAAAAATAGATATATGAATTATCAAGTATAATGAAAAAGTACTGCAGAAGATATGAATATGCCTGAAGAAGAATATGTGGAGAAAACATTTGTATATAAATTTCCAACATGTACTACAGATCAAGAATATGTTTTGGAAATACCATTAAAAATACCATACCATGGTTCTATCAAAGAACTCATGCATCGTATAATGTCATCTTTCAAACTGCCATGTTATGTAGAATCAGATTTGCTAGTATCATTGGAAAAGACAGTCAAAAGACTGTCCTTAGAATTTTATGATGAAAAAGCAGAGAAGGCTCTTGAAAATGCAAAATCAGGAGCCTTAGATATTGAAGAGATAATCAAAAGTTGGGAAAAGATTTATAAGCAGAAGACAGTAGAATATGCTGATCCCATTGGAACAACTGATGAAGAACTGTTTGCTGCTGCATATCACAGATTGGTGCATTCACCATCGTTAGAACCTATTCTTCAAGCTGAACACAAATTTGGAAGAGATGTGACTGAAGTTATTCAAATGAGAGATACACATTATGAACAGCTTACTCAAAAGTTAGTATCAACCACTAACTGCATAGTGTTACATCAATGTATCATGCATGTTCTACTAAATTTATTAAACTATGTTCAATATACTCAATGTCCTATGAATTTTGTAAATATTTTTTTACACTTCACCCTTCTTGTATTAAACTACAAAAGAAAGGTCAAGATATACTTAGTGTTAGGTGTGCATTATGTATCAATACATGTAATATAATTTATCACTTGCATTGACCTTTCTATGTAGATTATCGGTAGCGTCAATATAATGATGATTGGACTTAAAGAGTCAGTGAACGTGTTTATAATTCAAACGTTCAATCCCTGTTCATTGAGCAATTACAATTTTCAAATGATTTTAAACTTTCCGCGTTTAATCTGTCTGCAACGCATGCAATTGGCCTATTATCGTTTTTGGAGCAGAGTTAATTAACCCGTTGCTATTTTAAGAACACGCGAGAAGCAATGAGATCGTGGAACGTTATTAATTGAATTACAGACAAACGGAGGAGATGAGGGTCGCCGTGGAAGCTCTCGAGGCCGGTTCTACCGAAAAATCTATCAATGAAATGGCAGGACGACATTTCGAGGAACAAAGTTTATTGCAAGGCCACTGGGGTTCAAGAGTCGACGCTTTGAAATTGGAACAAAAAAGGCAGTATCGTAATTGGATCATGAGATTACTGGAAGAACAACAGACTAACATGCCGCCGACGCCAGTGTACGTCTATTTCTAACAAAACAAACGCGTAAACGAAACGAATATGATAATTATAGATTATGTGACTATTAGGGGTTCTCCGATGTTGTCGATGCCACCGTTACGTCCAGCCTTAGACAATTTTGTCCATAGCGAGGAGAAAAATATGGCTGATTATCCTATCCTCGAGGAGAGTTTCACCATTCATTTAGGCTCCCAAATGAAGCAAATGCATAATATACGTATACTAACCGGAGATGTATTAGATTTTTGTAGGACTAAAAAGAGCGAATCAGGGTGGGTTGACTAGAAGTACATACACTATGAACTGCGGTGGAATCGAATGAGAATAAATATCTTTCTTTCCTTGTCTTAAATAGAATGGATCCAACGCCTCAAAGGCTACAGACGGCTCTAGGATTATATTCCAATGATTTATGTGGTTTAGTATTATTGAACGACAATCATTTAGGAACTTATTCGGGAATAACGAAAGGTACCATATTAGATGATCCGTTAAAATTCTTTTCTGATCCTGAATAATTAAAAACATTCACACGGTTTCTAGAATTGTCTTCGATATGCCAATTAACGACAGAATTTCATTTCCTGCCAATTGATGAACAATTGGAAAAAATTCGGGAAGATGTGAAAGATGCAGTTGCTTGGAGGCAAGCGCGTCATAAAGAAACAAACGAGTCACAAGTATGAAGAAATGAATTTAAAAAATAAAATCTATTAATGTTCAGTTCAGGTTTAATTGGTACGTGTTATTTTACAGTCGAAAAAATCGACGACCAGCAAAAGTTTGCAAACCGGCGACGTTTATATTACAAGGCATTCAAATTTAGCGCAAGTTCACGTAATTTTCCATATGGTTGTGAACGATTCGTTGAGATCTGGTGAGTAATAAATATTTTTTTGCAAGCGATTGGTGATTCTTCACGACGATAAGAATTTTTACGCAAATTACAGGCGATATCAATTCGAGGCACCCAGCCATTTTAGGATTGCGAAACATTTTGAAAACTGCTTGCTGCAACGATGTGACCACACTGACCATTCCTGTACTCCTGGTCCACGAAATGACGGAGGTATAATTATTCCATTAAAGAAAATCAATTTTCTTTTCTAATTAATCAATCCATGTTTGGTATCTTTCAGGAAATGACGGTAGCTTGGTGCACAAAGAGAGCAGAGCTAGTTTTTAAATGCGTGAAAGGGTTCATGATAGAAATGGCTTCGTGGGGTGGTGCGGAATTGAAGAATCTACAATTCCTCGTACCAAAGGTGATTTCTTTCGAAAAACGAAAAATACTATGTCGATATTTGCTCATAGACTAACTTCTTTTTTCTAGGGGATGTCCGAAGAAGTATTTGGTACCCTAGCCACAATGTTGCCAAGCATATTCCGAGTATCAAATCCACTGGTATTCAAAGCTACCAGCACACCTCAAACTCCGAAAAAGTGAACAATCGTCTTGCCATTGTTATCTTAGACGCGTTAAAAATATTAAAATATTTGTTACTATGTATCACGCATCACCGACCTCAATCGTTTGCCGTGGGCGCGAACGAGATACCATTCTGTTAATAAATGTCTGACTCTTGAGCTACTTTGTTTATATTACTTTCACACGACTGATTTTCCAGTAACTGATATCCATAATACCGCCTATTTATCGGGTATTTTGAAATCGCTCTCGATCACGAAAACATACTTGATATTTAGTTAAATTAATCTTTCAGCAATTAATCTTCAACATTTTTGAAAAATATTTAAAATTTAACCAAGTACAAACTTTCCTTTCCTAAAGAGAGAAAGAGAAGCAAAATGAAAAGAAAAGATGATTTTGAAAAAAAGAACATGGGTCAGTAATATAAAAGAAGAAGAAAAAACATTCAACTTTATATTAATTATAATAAAACAAGCATAGAGCGACGCATTTATCGTAGCTAGATACCTCGAGGAGCCTCGTTTATCTCGGACAGCTGTGCTTTTTTATTTTTCAATCACAGATACATTTGAACGTTTCCGTCGTCGGTCTAATAATTTGTTGTGCATCGCACTCGAGCGTGATGCAAGGTGCTAGCAGTGCATTGTCGTGTTATCCGAGATTAATTCTCTTCTCTTATACTCTGTTTTGTTTGTTTTTTCTTTCGTTCGTTGCCATTTAACGCCCGTTTCGACGCATACGCGGGACGAACGTCCGGCGATATCGTGGTACGAATATAAATTAATTGAAAAAATACGTGGCGATTATAACACGGCCCACGGGGGAAAAAAGTAAACATAAAGCAGAACGTACGTGTAGATCGGGGACGTAATCTCGTTTTATCGAAAAAGTGGTGCGTTAGCCTCGCGGATTCTGAACTGCTCGAGAACGGATTAACGCGGTGCGCGCCCCGTGAACCATCTGGAACGGTTGCTCCCTGATTTTTTTACCCATTTCTCGTCCAGCCGGTGTGCCATACGAATCACTGTTCGATGCAAGTGTTTTCTAAGTGTACCAAAGAAATCTGGTCCATTCGAGCCAGCGAAAACTAAGTCTACAGTGTATCAAATTAAAAAAAGAATTTGAATAAAAGTGCAACGTTAGAAAAGACCACATAATCTAAAACCATCGCTGTAATTTTTTTTTAAATTTCTAAGTAAAATAATCATGAACGAAGATTAATTATCCTGAAGAGGAACAGCAACTATAATTAACTCTTAATTACCATTTTCTAACAAAAGTGTCAAGGATAAAAGAGCATCGGGTAGTTGAAAAATTGTCTAAGACGAGAAATCAACATCAGAATAAAGAAGAAAGATTAAAAACGATCGAGCAACTGCATAAGGATGACGAAGCCCCTCCTGCTCCCCTCTTAATTCGGCACTGTAATCGTAAGCAGAGTATGCCGCGGATGAATTGGTTGCCATTCCATCGGATCGTTGTGTGAGAAGCATAGTTGAAACTAGGCGCTCTCTGCGCGATCATTTTAACCGGAATCGGAATTGCAACGCGTTTATCCGTGCGACAGATAATCATCCGTCACCTGGACAATGTGGTCCCCAGCGATCGCGATTCTCCTCTTATTTGTTGCCTCGAGCGCGACAAAAACGGTAGGTTTCATTATTTCGACGAAACGATACAAATTTTAATTGCCGCAGATCCGCGCGATTTCTGTACGCCTATATTGGATCGCGTTACGGCATACTTTTGAATTTGAAACTGCACAACATGGCGTCCCTTACGGCGCGCCGAAGATTCGTATTTTCGCACTCTTTGCAATAACCTTTGATTGATCGTTGTTCGTTTCGATTTTACTTTATTCTAATTTTATAATGTAAATTGTATGTTTTCATTGACTTACCTTCTTGTTCCAGGTCGATTTGTCACATCGTGGATTGAAGAAGGAGGATTTCTTCATGGAGCTACAGACGCAGATCAATCTGGCGGATGTCACCGACTTGATCCTTCGGGAGAACGAATTTGATAGTTTTCTTGATTGTTCCACTAATCTTGCGAACTTGAGGACACTGGATTTGTCACAAAATCACCTTCAACGATTCTTTTTTCTCTGCAAAGACGAGTACAATTTGCAATTGTTGAACGTCAGTCACAATAAACTCGAGTACATCGACGACAATGCCTTCAACGACCGAATCCCGAAGCTCAAAATACTCGATCTATCGTGGAACAAATTATCGATTGTTAACGAGACCATGTTGGAACATTTCAAAGTAATTACCTTTTGAGTTTTATAGTGTATGAGAAAAAGAAAACAAATAGAGTTCATTCAAACTAAACTATTTCTTCTTTTTTCAGATTTTAGAATATCTTTCGTTAGCCAATAATCCGATTAACAATGGAATCCATGAAAACGCGTTTTGGAACTTGAAGGCACTGCGATATTTGAATTTAAGCAATGTATCGTCGTCCCATTTTACGTCGGTATATTTCAAAACGTTATCTAATTTATCCACCCTAGATTTGTCGAATAATCCCCTAAGAATGGTCCCGTTGTTACCGATTAACCTAGAAGAGCTCGACTTGTCCGGCACTTACATATCAGGGTTCCAGGATGTCTTTTTACCTCAATTACGAGAACTCAAATTGAACAACATGCAAAATCTAAAAGAACTATCGTTTAACGATCTCGAAAATCTGACCAGCCTTGAGATACTATCCGTAGTTGGTTCAAAGAAATTAATCCATCTGAAACTGTTCCCCTATAATGGACGCATATTGCCACGACTGCAGCAGCTGTTGATAAACGACTGCTCTTTGAAAACTTTGGATTACAATATGTTGCCGATAATAAAGAGAACGGCACTTTTAAACCTACAAAACAATCCTTGGAACTGCGATTGCAAAATGCAGTGGATGTCTATGTCAAACTCCACCAGGATGCTTAGTAGGAATATCAAGTAAGTGAAAAATGACTAACTTTCTCATCTGACTAGAGTCGGTAACAGAAAGCAATCGATAATTTTATCGACCTTAAACGAGTCTACCAGAGATGTCTCCGCTTACACTTTAAATTCAAAAATCTCTATAAAAACTATTAGTGTAATCGACTTTTCTTTGAGCAAATTTTTTATTCGCCAAGTAAATGTTAATGTGATATTAAAATGTTCCTCCCTTGCAAACTTAATTATACGTCCCCTGAAAGTAAGCGGTCCCTAATTAGAACCTGGGACAAAGACTCATCCCGGTTATTAATTTCTTAATTTCGCGTTACCAGATGCAGTGCACCCGACGAACATCGTGACAAGCTACTGAGCGAGATACCGAATTACGAACTGGAGTGCGACGACCAGGCATCAGTGTTCCATCCAGTTCTTTGGGCTTGCATTTTGATACTGGTCGTGGCGATTATCCTGGCGGTGGGTTTCTTCCTCCTGAAACGACCGCTCGGCCGTTGGGACATCGGGCGAAAAAACCGGGACACGGTCACCTACAAGAACGTGGACGAGTCCTCGAATGATATGGTGAGAATTCTAGCGGTCAACGATGCGATCGAGCGTAACGAAGAATAAACGAACGCGTATCGCAGAAAGAACAATTGTACTAGAAAACGTATTAAACCTACAAGAAGAGTTACAATGAAATTTGTCGGGATGATCGAAATTTGAAAAAATTTCAAATTTTTATTTCAACACCGCCAAACTTCATTAGCGAAGACTCCATCTAAGGATCTCCTTATTATAATAAGCGACAGTTTCTGAAAAGAAACTCATCCAGCGAAGGGAACTTGAATTTTTCGTCAATCTTCCCTACCATTAGTGTCGGCTGATACAAAATTGGCAAGAAAATTGAAACGACGATCGAAAGTGGAAATATTAAAGGAGAATCGTGCTGTAAGGATGCTTTGACTGGAAATAATCTAATTCGCGACAAGATATCGGTTTGGAGGCGTCAAAGTATGGGGCGCGTGTCGTTGACGCCTTGAACTCTTCAGATACGGATATCTCGCGCGAAAAGTCAACGATATGAGAAAAAATCACTTCTCTCGATTAACTTTATATCGTCGTCTAGACTTGCGTCTACGATTTCGAGGCATCCCGTACTAATTTTCTACAACTTTTATTCCCCCTTTTTAATATCCTTCACACTTGGAATAGTCTTCATATAAACGCATTTAACGAGCGGCATTGTACAGCGAGAGAACATCAATAGCTTTTATTGAATCGCCACGTGTCGAAACACAGGAAAACACGTTGTAAACACGGAGGCAACGTTTAGTCACCTCTAGTGCATCCCTTAAACTCGAAACACCATAGGCTCGAGTACTCGAGCATCATCTGGTGTACGCAATAACAATGTGGGACCTCTGTGAATCGAATAAAACGTCTTTTTTTCTTTTCTTTCTCTTTTTTTTTTTTGTCGGCAAGTATCGCCGTACTTTTTTTTTTCTTTCGAAACCCTTTACTACCTCCACTCGTTACAAAACGAAATGTCTGCGCTTTGGGCACAAAAGAAAATGGATACAAAGCAGCCGATGGCTCGTTTCCTCTGAAATGATTCGATTCTTCCTTGCTGCGTCTTCGAGCACGAATCTACGCATCGATGGTTACGTACTCTTTCATTTTTCTATTCAAAGATAGGAAATTAATTGAAGTTCTATATTTTGAGAGGAATTCGAGCCGAAGAAATTTTGTAATTTTAAAGAACGCACACGTTCAGCAACGGTTGTTTTAGTGTTAATTTTCAGAAAATGTGCAAACGAAGTTTCTCGAGTAACGTGGGAAATGGAGATTCAATGACACAAGAGAGTTCATCCTGTAGATGGGAAAGCAAAGTATGCTCGAAGACGTGTACTTTGTTCGAAAAGGGAGTGCGATATTGGCGAGGCAGAGGACGAGCAAATGGTGCTATGAAGATCGTCAGTTTCCATGACGTGCATCGTGATCGCGTGCGATGTAGCGATCAGCCTTTGTACCGAAGTATGATCTTCCTACGGGAAGCCTATTGGGTTACGAGCAGAGAGAGCCTTCCATATGGAAGAACACGTTGCTGCAGGAAAGTATGGTCAATGAGAAAATCACGGCGTGTGTCACCTACATTAGCACTTCGAAACCTAATCGCACAATAATACAAATTGTATTATCAGTTTCAATTCCTCCCCTTTCTCTCGCGTTCCGTTGTTTCTTTTACCAAGCATTATCTTAACCACGCTTGATAAGAATTCAGTAAATTGTTATTGAATGAATTTCATTACTACTCATTGACTTTTAATCAGAGGTATAACTATAATTAATGATTCGAGGAAAAAACATATAATGAATGCATTATAATTGAAACTTTAGTATACAATGCTTCGAACTCTTTCGAATGTTTCTGAAAAAATTTGTAAAATTTGAAATATCGCAACACGATACGAAGAAGATTTACCACGTTTAATGACCACGTGTAGTAAGATATTTGAAATTTTATACATATTTTATACTCTTAAAAACTCTGATATTCCATTATTAACAAACTGCCTTCGCGCTCCGAATTCTGACACTTGCCGATCCATTTTAATCTATAAATGGATATTCGAAAAGTTTATCTGGCTCTGAGCGATGATATTTTCAGCGCACATCGCTCGAATATTTTTCTCCTCGCGCTTCGATTATTCGCTCTTTTTTATTTATTTTTTTTTTATTTTTTCGTTCTCTAACCCGTTGAAACATCCTCGACAAATTAACGTAAACAATACTACATGAACGTTTGAACTTTATACGGTAGAACCTTGGTTATCTGAACGCGGTAGTTATCTGAATGTTAAGTGATATTAATAGAATAATGAATGATATGGATAACAAAGAAATCATTATAAGAATATAAAACATTTTCTTGCATTTTTCAGCGGTTATAGTATGGATATTAATAAAATAAATTTCAAATTATCAGGGTGGAATAGAAGTAATTTTGATGATGTGGTGCGGTTAATATTGATCTATCGATGGGGATTTTCGCGTGAAAATCGAGGAATCAAGCTGCGGGTGGTTCTCCGGGACGATAGAAGCGAAAGGCAACAGGAGATCGGGGGCCCTGGCTCGATTATACCGATCCGCGCTCAATGGAACATTGTGGAACTCCTTTTTGGATATTCCCGGGCGAGAGCTTTGCTCGGGATTGGATGCTGGAAGTTTTACGTCGCGGATATCGAGTGTCCGTAATTCGAGAGGAGCCGTGCGAGCCAATTTGCCGAGCCAACGGAAAAATAATACACCGCCTACCAGCAACGAAACACGGGAGACGTCGCGAGAACGCGGACAAGCGAATTTTAACGGACAACGCGAAACACGTGGGCAGCCCTGGGTTCCCTGGGTATATTCGGGAATATCGTGTTTCCGGCCAAGCAAACGCGAGATCCTCCCTTAAGACGCCTCGATAGCCCTGCCGATATTTTCGATGGAAAATAAGAAGAAGCTACGTTAAGGATAGATGATACTGGCCAGATAAGAATGAAGGCAGATTTTAATCGACGTGGATCAAAATGTCGAAGATTCATGATCGACCAACGAAGGGTTGTTCCCTTGGCTTTATAGAAAAAAGAAAATCCCTTGAAGTATTCGCTATCTAATGTTACTAGAAATTTTATAATTACAAATGAAAGAGTACGAGCCACTTCTAACTTCAAAGAATCAATGTTTAATGAGATATGATTGAAAAGCCCTGTTTTCTGATGCTGCTTGAAAGAACCAGATTCGCATAACTGATTAATCGAACAGGATGGAACTTCCAGCTTATTCAGCACTCGACGAAACGTATTTTCGAAATATTACACTTTCCATTACGATTCGTTAAGCCGCTGCTCTTGAATTAACTAAGCTGATCTGCTAATTACCGCACCTCCGATAGTTCGCTAGTTTCCTTTCGCCTCTCGTTTCCTCCAACGTTCCGTCTGCTGTTCGAAGCGACCAACGGAAACGCGAGTAAAAATTGCTCGAATCTAGATACCTTTTATTATTACTGACTACTAGATACATTTTATTACTGGGTTAGAGATTCAATTTTCAATCATCATAATATCTGATCTTTTAGTTTTGCAAATAAGAAAAAATTTCTGAAAATTCGAGAGATTCAACTATGCGGGGTAATATTAAGAAAGCGTGAACGACATAATGAACGGAGGTGATAAAGCGAGAAAATATGGGTCGGAAACGGGTCTGGTTTGGCGAGCGAGGGAAAGTGTAACCCCATGCTGGTTAGTGTGCGGCGATTTTTGGCGTTCCAGGGTCTTATCTGATTAAAGCCACATAGAAACACGGGGTTACGCGTGTAAGCTTCCCGCCTATCCATGGGGAAACGACGAACAAATGAATAATGAAAATAAAACCCACGATGGTATCGGTAAGCACCACGGGATTACACACGCATCAGCGCGCCCGCGATGAACTTACATTATGGAGTCCCCTGTAAAGAGAGCTTTCACGTACATACATACATACGTTACGAGTTTCACGCGCGCGCCTCACGACAGCAAAGAAAACAGACTTTTTTTCCCGTGCCACGTTTTAGCAGCCCCAGCACTGGCACGGATTTAAACGGCAAATCAGGGGTTCCGCGGTTATTTCTTGCTGCTACAAATGGCAGTTTTCCCTTGCACGACTTTTCAACCGGGAAATATCGATTCGATGGTTGTCGCATAGCTGACTGACAAGTATCGCAGGGTTATCCGATGAATGATCGATAAAAATCATGTTCGATCTAGGATTTATAGCTAGAATTTCATTTAAAATATTTTTGGATTTCAACAAAGAATCGATATAATTGCTGCCATTTGACGTACAGATATTTCCCGGTTTTTGGAGAGGAAGCTGATGCAGATCTCCTTTTACGGTGTAAATGTCGCAAAGGTTATAATGGTCGAATGCATCCCGGTTTTCCGGGATACTCCGATTATGCCAAGGTGTGAACTTACGAGGCCAGCGAATAGAGCTGCTGGTGAGTACAAAAGTAAAGTCCCCACGGGGCCAAGCGGCTTACGATCAATACCTCGATCCTTCGATCTCACCTAGTCTCGTCCGGCCGAAAGTGTCCATTCGACGGCGCACAATGCCAAATGGACGGAATATGCTTCTTAAATACCCAGCGGGCACTTCTTCGGGATGAGAGGCTCCCTGAAGCCCTCGCAATTCAGGCCGAGGCACGTTCCGAGCGCGGAATAATATCGCAACGCGAATCGAATTCGAATCGACCAGACGCGACCTGATAAATATGCCCGTCAACTTTTTCCTCCTTCGATCAAGACAACGTGAAATTTTAATATAAAATCTCTGTTCATCTTTATAAGTTTTTCATCAGAGATCCTCAGATCAAAGAATGACTGAGTAAATAATAATTTTTTATCATAAAACATTTCAAACCATTTGATTTTTCTAAGTTTGAAATTTATTTCTTATTTTCCCTCCCAGTTTTATTTTCATATAAATTGTTTTTCTAAAGAAATCTCTCTAATATTCTCTACCATCCTCCCATGCAAATGTTACAAGAATTACTCTGTAATAAGCTCTGTTCGACTTACATTCGAACGAAAGGAAATCAGCTCGAACTGAAGAACACCGACCAAATATTTGACGATCGAACCGAGTCGAGCGTCGAAGTCGATGTAAAACAGCTACGCAATCTGTTCAAGGGAGAATAATACGGCTTACTCGAGGTATACAGTTACAAACGGCCACGGTACAGTATTTCGAAAGGAGGAGAGATGGTATCACGACTTCTGGCTCTTCCGCAAGCAAGAGGAAAACCGAAAAGCATCGGTCGCTAATCCGGGTACCTCAGCAATCGTCACGTTCCGCGAGCTCAACTACCCCCTCCTTCAGTTCAGCTTGAAACCTCAAAGGATCGTACACCTGAGCACAAGACCCTATCCTTCGTAATTACTTCCAGATGTGGTCGTCAGCCTTCAAGCAACGCACCCGACGACGAGTATATACGTCGACCGAATTTATTGTCGTTCGGGGCCCAACAAACTACTGGCCCTCGAACAAGGACCTGTCGAAACTCTGCTATATTGCCCGGGAACCTGCTGGAAAGCCAGCATTCAACCTCGTCGCGTGCAGTTTACACGGGAGACCCCGTGTACCCCGAGACCCACTTCAGATCGATAACTTTATTGGTCACCGGCGGTCGTAAACTTGAAATCCGTCCAAGGCGTCCACTTTGTGGCTACGGTGTTCCAGCTGGAAGTTCGACGACTTCTTGCGACGTCTTTACCGATCTCGATGTTTGCTCTTTGTTCATTTTACGGGATACAAGATTAATTTAGAAACACGCGAAAATGGGAGCTATTGCTTTTATATGAATCGTTAAGCATTTTTTATCTTACAATGAATTTAGATGAAAAATTTTGATACTGTTTCGTTTCAAG